AATTGGCTACACAATCTAATTACTTAATAAGATTTAAGTCTAGTGGAAAATTCTTTGCAGCTGTTCCAAACTGGAGCAAATATTTAATCGATATACAGTATCGTCAACAACATATAATTACTGGTTTGTTTAACTCTCTAATTACAAGACTAGAGGCGGTGTTGATGAAAGGCTTCCCACGCGGTCAAAGCAGTAACTATCTCCATCAGAGGCACAAGCGGCTCGTCAAGCCAAACAAGGTAAATGGTTAATTGAAGGACACTAATTTATTTGTGTGAAGCGTTGGCTTGGTGCTCAGCGAGCCATGGTTGTTGTAAAGCCGTAGAGATGTTGCAGAGAGTAGTGGAGGCTGCCAAACCATTATTGTTGGAAAACCGTTGACAGTGTATAGAGTGTATAGAGAAGTAACAAAGCCATGGCTGGTGCACAGATATATATATATATATATATATATATATATATATATATATATATATATATATATATATATATATATATATATATATATATATATATATATATATATATATATATATATATATATATATGTATTTATATATATATATATATATGTTGCAACCTCATGGATGTTGCAGACAATATACTTCCCGAAGAATAAATTCTGCAACTCCTTTGGATATAAACAACCCGTTATTGTTGCAGAACCAAGGATTGTACTGCATGCCTGTGTATATATATTGCAGAGCAGTGCTGGGTAAAGTTTAACAATGTTGAAATGGGTATTTCAGAGCGCTGATAGGTGTAGCAGAATCATGCTTTGTGCTGCATATCCTGCGAAATGTTGCAAAACTAAGCTGGGTATTTTGCAGAGGCATAATTGTTGCACACCCAAGCCGTATGTTGCAGAGATGTGAGTCTTGCAGAAACCATTTGGGTGTTGCAGAACCTGGCTGGGTGCTACCGTGGCTCCCTGTCAGCTGCCGGTGAGGAGACCCGGAGGCGATAGACAAGGAAGGGGAAGGAAGGAGACACATTACGGGAGGAAGAGACTGGCGAACACATATGCAAATAAATCACTTGTAGGTGCGCATGATCCATGTATATGCTGATAACTACAGAGGATAGAAGAAAACACGAAGTTTCCAACCGCTTTCGTGCATTTCACTTCTTCAGGGGTGTGTGTGTGTGTACATATATATAACCTTTGGAGGTCAAACGGCTCAGAGATCAGATATGCTGATACAAGATGGCAACAGTTTCTTAGCTTTATCTCCCCGTGTTCTCGCTCATCACCCCAACACATCCCACGTGTTCATGGCACCAGCGAAATCCTGATCACATAACACCCCAGCTGCACCTTTAGCCACTCGTCTCCCCAGACTTGAAGCACCATCGGCTTACAGAGGTGTAGTAAGTCATAGTCAATCGGGGCCACCTGGGCTGTGGGCTGGATGATTCAACTGTTCCTACCCGCACCGTTGAATGGTGTTATGTGACTCTGGTCTTGTGGGCTGGTGCATCATGGAGCAGCACCAGGACATCACGCTTCACTAGTTCGGGGAGTTTTTCTTGGTTTTGAATCAAC